TATTTTAGCTTGGTGACTCACGTTAACTTGATAACTCAAGTTGTAAAACCACAAAAATTTACTAATGCCATTAATGTAAGGCATAGCAAAGAAAAGAAAAGGAAAACGTGAGAGAGGGAAGTAAAAAGAAAATAAACTAGAGAGAAACGGAGAAAGAGAAATTCAAGGAAATCAAGCATTATCATTGAAATTTCTTCTGTGCAGTCCGGTAGAAACGTAACCTGAGGCGTTTTAGCAAAAAAACTCAACTTCTAGAGGTAAGATTTCAGATTTAAAAATGAGAATTCTATGATTTCTTGAGTTAGATGAATAGTAACCCATCTCGGAAAACTTCCGTTAAAGTAAAAATCAAAACCGAGGTTTTGTAGAGCATCGTAATAGGAGTCTAACGGTGTAAGAATTAAAACGATTGAACGAAGTTTTTGATAGATTTTCTTTGAAAATCGGTGAGCCTAGATTGAGGAAAAACATATGTTTTTGTTCAATATTATGTTGGAATCTATGTTCAGGAATGTGAATCTTGACTCCAGGTACCGGAATCGGAAGTAGAACGAGTTATTGAAAACTCGGGAAACGAGAAAAATAAGGCGAAGCTCTGCCGAAATTTAGTTTGAGTAATTTGAACTAAAACTGGATTTCAAGAGGAATATGGGATTAAAGTGTGAAAAGAAAGATGTTTCGATAATCAGTGATGGTTATAAACCGAACACAACGAGAATTCACAGTTTTGGACCGAAACTGAAAATTAGGCCCATGATTGAGTAATTTGCACGGTTTTAGTGCAAATCCTTGAGATAAGAAATAGTTTGAGGTTCAATACCAAACATAAGGATTGTAGACCTTTCCAACGTAAATTTCAATGTAATTATTGATCTTAGATTTTGAATCTTACGATCGAAAAATTTATGCAATAGGGCCGATTAACGGTTGAAGTCAGATAACAGCAAGGGAGACAAAGGACGCATTGTTAGCGAAACTTCTGTAAGTACAATAGTTTTTCTATAGCTATATCACGAACAAGCTTACTTTTCTATGTTGCACAAAAATTGTGCATATTGTAGAATTTTGAATGTTAGATAGATACAATGTTAAGTATGTATCAATGTTAGGTCGTGATTAAACTAAGAGAAAAGAAAAGTTAAACTTCAACGAAAAGCTAATCTCATGATAAATTGCTCAAAAATGCACAAATTCATAAGATTTAATTAAAGTTACCGTTTCAATGAGAAAATTGATAAACGGTAAGAGACTAAACGTCCTGTTTGTACCAGCCTTCGAATGAAAGGTTATTATGAGACTATGAAAGAAATGAAACTGTGACTGAGTTGGATTGGTTAGCTACCACACTCCTCAATGGTTATGCACGCTATGGTACAACAAGACAGGGCCCATAAGAAGTAAAAGACAAGAAAATGAAACACAAAAATCATTCCATATAACGGTATGGTATCCGTAAACAAGAACGACAAGAGTGAGAAAAACAAATGAAAGTCGTTTAGAATTCTGTACTAGGAAATATGACATGAATGCATATATGGGTATGCATAATTAATGCATCTGTTTATGATCTATTGATACTTGCTGAGCGAAAGCTCATTAAGTTTGTTCGTGTTGTAGGAAGCACGGGTAAGGCACCAACTCCCTAAAACTTGATGCTGGGCATGCATAGAAGATGTAGTAGTAGAATGTGGGCAAGTGGGTTATGGATGCATCACGTGTTTTGGAAATGCTGCTGAACTTTAAATGTAAAATAAAATAGTGTTTTATGTATTTTGATGACTAATGTAACAGAATGATGTCAGAATGCTGCAGCATTTTAGAAATGGCTAAAAACCAAATTCTAGCTAAATGCTACAGCATTTTAACGTACATGGTAAAAAAAAATGGCCTGAGATTTTAAGAAGTTATAACTAGTAAATGGTAGAGGTTAAGAAATGGTAAGTATGAGCATAGGATGATGACCAAAAGTTAGGGTCGTCACACTATCACACACATTCTTCTCATTATGCATGATAATTAAGTTATGACGTAGCGACAATGAGGTCCAGTAAGGCAACTCTCAAAAGATACTCTTCTTCATCCAATTAAGCTATGTCGGCTGTCTCTTTTGCTTCTTACCACCAAATTTTTCATGTTTACCAGGCAATCGAGATTTCACCCTTTTTAATTGAGCCAATATTTGCTTAAGGGTTTTCTGAGGCAGGGGAGGTCGTCGATCAACCTTACCATCAAACTTTTTGTTAGTCCTCATCCTATGACTCATAGGAAGCCATTGTTTATTTTACTGGTTATTCACTTCGATCGAGTTGCATCGTTGCAATTGGGACACGCAAAGTACCCTTGGCCACTCCAACCATATAAACTACTACGCGCAGGAAAGTCATTAATTGTCATCAGCAACACAGCCCGCATCCGAAACGACGTATTCGTAGCAGCATCATGAACAACAACCCATTCATCCCACAACTCTTTTAGCTCATCTATAAGGGACCTTAAGAACACATCAATATCTTTCCCAAGAGCATTGCGATCAGGAATCAATAACGTCAACATCTTATATAGGTCCTTCATAAATACCACGGGGGTAAATCATATGTAGTCACAATAACATGCCACATACTGTATGATAGACTCATATTCCCAAATGGGTTGAAACCATCAATAGCTAACCCTAATCAAATATTTCTCGGTTCACGTGCAAATTGTGGATGTTTTTTTTATCAAAATATTTCCACTCCGTACCATCAACTGGATGACGCATTAAGTCTTCATCCCTCGAACGCCTCCGCACGTGCCACGTCATTTCCTTAGCAGTGTGACGGGAAGCATATAGACGCTTCAACCGATCCTTCAAAGGGAAATATCAGAGTACTTTCCACATAACTTTTTTTCCCTTTTTGCTCTTCCAACGACTTGTACTACATACTAAACAAGACTGTAAAGCAACATTCTGCTTCCAAAACAAAGCGCAATCATACTTACACACATGAATTGTCTCGTAGCTCAGGCCCAATTTACTCAATAACTTCTTCGCCTTGTAATACGATGTAGGTAACTTGTTCTCTTCAGGAAGTGCATCTCTCAGTAGCTTCAACATTTCATCCATGCATTCATTAGGCCACTTGTACAACACTTTAGATGCATTAGTTTCACTAAAAAAATTCAACGATGAATACTTCGTGCAACCCGATACATTCTGACTTGGACCTCGGATAAGAGATATCTAAATTCATCGTAATGCGTATCTTCTATCACCGTTTCAGTCTCACCCATTGTCTCATGATCATCACTAATCCCATGCACATCATTTAGTACTACAAACATCTCGTCAACAGATTCACTGACAACTACAGCAACAGTGCGTACTTCACCATGGTGAATCTATGTGCTGTAACTTGTATCAAAGCCCCATCGATGTATGTGCGCTTTCACTGTTTCGGGTGGATGCATCTCATGATTTCTACACTTCATACATGGATAACTAACACCCCGGAGTGAATTTGCATAATTCTTTCCAACATCAATAAAAGCACACAAACCATCCCAGTACTCATTAAACAACCGGTTTCTTAAATGTATCCAACTCTTGTCCATAAGCATCTCCACTATGCAGAATTTATAAAGTTTTATCAAATTTTATGAAAATTAACACAAATTATTTTATAATAAGTATTTAACATTAGTTTATTTAATTATTTTATTATTAATATAATCTTAATTAAAATTTTTATCTAATTTTTTAATTATCACATAATCATTATTAAATAAATTTTATACAAATTTTAATCTAATTATCACATATTTCAGTTTCAATTCTAATTTAAAATTTACAATTCTAAATTCAAAACCACAAACTATATCTAAAATCTAAAACAAAATTATAAACCATAATAAAATTACAAAAATCAATATTTTTAAGCTATTTTCAGTGTTTTTGGACGCTTTTTGGAGGTTTTGGACGGAGAGAGGAATAGAAAATGCGAGAGCCTCACCGGGAAAAATGGCGGAAGGAGGTCTGTGATTTCATTTATGCAGGTTGCTTTTTGCGACGACATTATGTTGTAGCAACAAAGATTAAATAGTCGTCGCAATTAATCTTAAAACGACGGCGTTCTTCTTCACCTCATTAATATTTCTGAGAATATTCTTGGGGAATATACCTTGGTTCATGTTTTGCGGTGATAATTTAACAATGTCGTTGTAAATAACTTTGAGGAAACCGCCAAAGTTTCCGTCCTTTTTTTTTGAAAAAAATGAAATCCCCAGTTATTGGCGATGACATTATTAAAACTGTCGTCGTAAAAAACAGTCGTCATTGATAGAATTTTCTGGAACCCTTTTTTCTAACGAAACTTGTCGTCGCAAATACAGTCGTTCTGAAAAGAATTTTCTGGAACTATTTTTTGCGACGACTTTTGCCTCGTCGTGCAAAAAATAAAGAAATATCTAGAACTTATTCGTGGAAAACCGCTAAATTTTCCACCTCTTTTTGGCCACGTCACCACCAGTTGTAATCATCAATATTTGTGACGACATGTCCTCGCAAATAATGTACAAACTTGCGCCAAAATTGTTGGCGCCAATGGGTATTAGCGATGACATGTTGTCGCTAATATGTCGTTCCATTTTAGCGACGACATGTCGTCGTAATTATATAAATTTTGTGCAACGACATATCGTTGTAAATATTTAATGCGATGACAAGTCGTTCAAAAATTTTGTTTTCTTTTAAGCGACGACATATCGTCGCTAATACTATAATTTTAACAACGATAAATATCGTCGCTAATAATGTCGTTGCTAATAACCTTTTTTGTTGTAGTGATAGCTTTTTCATAACAATACTTATGGAAACAAGGCTCTTCATTTGAAGCTGCCAATCTTATTACAACAAAAGCAAATTAAACAGCCCATTTATGAAAACTGGGAAATTGGCTTACAAAGCTTTGAAAGAAAAAGCAGAGCATAAAACAAAATCAAAAGGAAAAAGAAGAACATGGTCACTTTTCTTTTCGACTAAAAGCAGCAGCATGTTGCGCTCCTGTCTTCACTCTTTCAATCTCTTCGGCATTTGCATTACCTTCAAGCTTTTGATCTAATAGGCTAAGCACATCGCCTCCTTCGACAACAACGCTTATAGCCATACTTGGGAAGTACCTTAATTTTCCATTTATTTCTGTTTTCTCTGAGTTCCTCCTCCCTGATACAAGCTCGAAAAGCATCATTCCAAAGCTGTAGACATCTGCTTTGGATGTTATTGCCACTCCTGCGATCCACTCCGGTGCCAGATAACCTCTTGTCCCTCTCATGGTTGTCAGAACCCGGCTGAAATCCCTTCCAACAAGTTTGGCTAACCCGAAATCTGCCACTTTAGGACAAAAGTCTTCATCTAAGAGAACATTTTCGGGCTTGATGTCGCAGTGTATGATGCAATCTCTGCACTTCTCATGCAGATAAACCAACCCTCTTGTTGTTCCCAGAGCAATTTGGTACCTCGTTTTCCAATCCAAGACATTCAAATTGTTGTGATCAAAAAGGTGAGAAGCTAAAGAGCCGTTGGACATGAGATCATAGACCAACAGCTTTTCGGTCTCATGAGAGCAGAACCCGCGAAGTCGAACGAGATTAACATGCTGGATTGTCCCAATTGTGCTGACTTCTGCTCGAAATTGCTTCTCTCCTTGGCCAACACTTTCAAGCTTCTTCACAGCAATCATAGTAGAGTCGGGCAATATCCCCTTGAAGACTGAACCAAATCCTCCTCCACCCAGTTTCTCCGAAAAGTTCTTCGTTGCATTTTGCAAATCTCTGAATGCAAATGCAATCAACGAGCCTTCCATTCCTTTTCTCGTGCAAACTATCTTCTTTCTCCTTAATACTAAAAACAGAATTAGTGCTAGTAAAATTACTGACCCAACAATTGAGCCAACCACAACACCAACGATTAGCCCCTTTCCCTTTTTAGTACTTCGAAACTCCGAAGCGGCTAAACGAATGTAGAGACTCCTTCCCCTCGCGTCATTGGCTCCAAGCTGTTGAAGATCTAAGAGATCTCCCTTCCAAATGGAACATCTTGTGTTGTCGTAAGAATAAGCAATGCAAGAGCAGCTGCTGAGGCAGAACGATTCACAAGCATTGATATTCTCCACTTGCTCAGATTGTTTATTTTCAGGCAACAACACGCTTGGAATTTCTTCGAACTTGTCTATCCCACCATTTGCACGATCAATACTACTGTTCGCACACTGAAGCTTGGTTTTTCTGATGCACCCGCCAGAGTACTCCTTCAGATTCCAATCATGCTGCGACTTTGGTTCGAACCCCCTTAGACACTGACAGAAGAGCTCCGACTTCTCATTGCAGCTTCCATAGGCCCCACAAAAAGCATAGACTTTACATTGTTCTTTTGGTTGAGACCAAAATATATCCCAATGCTTATAAAAATCCAGTACTTGTTCCTCAATCTGACCCGAAACATCCATCACAAATCTAGCTAATCCTGTGCTAGTGTTATTGAGAGAGTAGATACTTGTCCTTGTTGCTGTAAGATTAGAATAGGTTATATAGACCTCATCATCATTTGAAACAAAGGTGAAGTTAAAGTAAGGAGAATTTATCATCTGAGGGATGAAGATGAAAGATTTGGTGCTTTCATCCCAAGTTCCAGTGCTCCATTGGATCCTAGACTTATTCCGCAGGATCACAAAAGAGTTATCACCTAGGACTGGCTCCAACGAGAAGAGGCCCGGGGATGGATCCTCTAAATTCTTCCATGAAGTTACCATGTACTTATGTTGGGTCTTTTTGTTGTATCCGAGTTTACTCCCCGGTAGCCACGTATCAGTTAGATAATCAAAACTTTCCCACAATATTGGTCTTGACAAATTAGATTCATCTCTTAAGACAAGGTTTCCATTGTCTAAAAGAACGGCTACCGTTGAATGTGAACTACTGGAGCTCACATTTGTGGACCAAATTGGGAGTTTGGACTCATTGAAGAGAACTAAATTGCCATTAGAGATTCTTACTTCCGAAGAAAATCTATCCTTGACAGGTTTTTCTCTATTTGCCACCCAAACTATGGTTTGTGTAACTTCTTTGTACCACATGCCTAAGTAGTAGTTTGAAGAATTACCTGGTCTAAAGAATCCCAGTTCGAAGAGTCCCCGTCCTGCAGAGACAATGGTTTGGTCTCCGGAGAGGGATTGGTTCGCCGAGATAGTATCACCAGCTCCAATGGACATATTGTTTTTGAGAAATAGGCATTGGAAGAGAAAAACAAGCAGAAAAATTGGTTGGACCTTCCTATAATTATCCATGGTGGAACAAATTTTCACAGACGGGGAAATAGGACTTTTGTTACAGTTTAGTTTGATAAAGCTGTTATGCTATTCTGTAAAGCTAGGTGCTAATATATAGTAACAAAACGAGTAGCATTCTACGTAGTCTAGACTCCACAGTCATACAAAGTCTCCTCGAATATGAGCAAAAGGTCAGAAAATATTTTTCAGACCCTACCGAGTTATGAAAAGAACAACTCTTATGATTCAACAAAAATACCAAGCACTGGTCTTACTTGATATAATCTCGTTTTGAATTTTGCCTTTTCTTTTTGCTGTTTGAGTTTGGTAAATGATGACTGATGAGGAGGTTATTTACCGATAAATAAAGTATTTTTGAGTTCAAATATTTGTGAGTCTTCAGCCACTATTGTTAGTTTAATATGTTTTGGGTGTTATTTTGTAGGAAAAATAATAAAATGGGACTTTGTGTCATTTTGGAGTCAAAAATTGGAGCAAAAAGCATTCAAGGCCGCACGAGGGCCCTCTTGGGCAGAACCACCAGTGCGGGCGCGCCACACCTCGCACGGCCGGGCAACATTGGGCACACGACCGCACCACTAGCCGCGAGGCTGCGCCCCCTACGTGTTGTTGTCGAGCTTTGGGCCATTTTTCAGCCCTTGATCAATATGGATAGCCAATTTTATAATCTTGGATGAGTTTGGCTGAGATTTTTTTTTTTCATGTTTGAGCATATTTAAAGAAAAGAAACCCTAGTTCCCAATTTGGAGAGAGGGGAAGATTGAAAATTTTCTAGAGAGAAGAGCTTGGAGTAGGAGATTCTTAAAGAATGTTTGGGAGAGATTCTTAAAGAGTTGAAAGCTTGAAGTTCATCTCCACAAGAGTTTTCTCTTCCTTCTCCCATTTTCCTTATCTTTGTAGTCTCTTTTTTTTAGTTTTTGTTCTTGAATTTGTGATTTTGGCTATGGACTCTTCTGTGTTGAGCTAGATTATTATTTTAGGGTTTGATGTAGCTTTGTTTGGACTATATTTTGATTATCTTGTCAATTGTTAGTTAAATTACATCTAAATTTTTATGTTTTTTTATGCTTAATGTTTTTAATTTATGTGGCCAATGAGTTAGATAATTTTAGATTGTAATTTTGATGCTTTGGAGAGATTGATTCCAACATACGACATTGGAGAGATTGATTCCGTCTTAAATTCCTCTGAGATATTTACCAACCTTATTGAACTGACTATAAGCCGTTGGAAAGTAGTTATTTTTTATTTTTGTTTCTAATATCGTACTCTCTTTTTGGAGAGAAATCACACAATGCTTTTTTCTTACTAGCCAAAAAAAAACCACTATTCGTTTTTCGGCTTTGCATGTTTGTTGCGGCTTTATCATATTAATGGATTATTACTCGGTTTTGACTGTCTCAATTATTGGACAATTTTAGAGTTAGAAACCAAGAATGAAGCTCTCACTTTATTTTCTTCCTCTTTCAGTTCGTTCACACATTTGCGTGTCTACCGATCATTGCTAAACAAAGTCGAGACAATATATACAAGAGATATTGATTTTAGCTCTCTTCTCAGTCGGTGAAAAAGGATTCACAAAAAGCCAAAAAAAAAAAAAAAACAAACTAAGGTCTTTCCACAAAGCGCAGCTTGACCCACCATTCACCAGGGGCCAAAAGGAAAGCGAATGTTTCTGCAGAAAAGTATATTTCCTGAACAAATGAACAGATAATTTATACGACCGTGTTGCATTCCAGTTTTGCATCAGGTTTCTTTTCTTTTCTTTTCTTTTCAAAAGTCTTTTGTTATTGCTTGTCATTTTGTTTTTGTGAGTTTTTCAACACGTTTTTCCTTTTTCTTTCATTGGGAGGTGTTGTCGGCTTGCTGCGCTCATTGCTTTCTTTACTTTTTTTTTTTTTTTTTTTACTTTTTTTTCTTTGGGCTATACATGCTAATAATTACAAAGCATTTAGTCAGTTGACAAGTGCCCCTTTACTCTTACCAATGACTATACAACTGAAATAGCAAGTTACTCTTTTGCACCGTATTTACAAGTTTACCACCACATCATTTATACTCCATTAATGATGCTCGCCTGTCCGCTGCACTCACCACTACGAACAAGAAGAACAAGAAAGAAAGAAATTAGACCCACTTTAGAATATAACACACGCGAACACCAACCTCCAACCCGAAAGAAAAACAACAAAAAAGACTTTGTTCTGAAAAGAAAATTTGACAATTATGGGCCAAACCCCTCAAACAAGCATTAAGAAAGAAGACTAAAGTCTCATTTATTTCACCGATTCGAGTTTTCAGTTCTAAGTTTCTACAGTTAAAAGCTCTTAAAAAATATAATATCTAACTTTTTCTATTATATTTAAAAACTCTTAAAATATGTCACATCTTAACTCGAATCTGTAAAACGAATGAGACTTAAATGATAATCATATTTTGCCCTTGGTGGGGGTTATGACCCCCTCAAGCAAGACTTTAGAAGCCAATACCACTGTTAGCGGATTGCCAACACCGGATTTAAAACCCTAAATCTCATAATTCAAACAAATAAGAACACAAAGGATTTGTTTCACCGAGGTTCGGACAAAATAATCCTACATCCCCGTTGAGCTATCCCACAGAAAACTCGATTCCACTATCAGACAAGAATTTACACCCTCATAGCTTACCAAATCACAAAGAAACTCTAACCCAATTACAAAGACGAATCCCTAGAGAGGAGACTCAAGTGTTTTCCTCAAGAAAATACCCAATAGGAAATAAAAGACCTAGTTCTACCCAGATTTTCTTAGAACCTAAACACTCTCTCACACTTTCTTTCTCTACAAGCTTGATCGTCTATAGAGCTTCTCTCTACAAATCGGTAAAACTTAATATCACCCACAAAAGATATAAAATCCCTTATAAATATAATACAACTTCTAGGTATTGTAATTAACCTAGATCTAATGGCTGATAAGAGCTCCACGTGTAAGACCGAGATCCGTTTTTGAATAAGTTGTACTGAGTCTTCTTCTGAAATGACATCGTTTGTTAAACTCTTCTCTTACTATTGTCGTTTGTGGAATTACTCTTACACAAACCCCTCATGTGTGTTAGCTCTGACTTTGGAGACCTTTCCTGACTTGGACAACAATGGACTCTCACTCCTTTCACCTTTTCTATTCATTTCGAATTGATCCAAGTTTTTAATTTTAATTTTACGACAGGTAAAAATTCTTACAAAAAATTATATATAACTTTTTCTATAATTAAATTTTTTTATATAAAATTATATCTTAACTCAAATTAAAAAATCAAATCGATAAGATGAATTGAACGAAAATATGTGTAAAAATGTACTAGTAAAAAAGTTATCTATATATAACATTGTTTGAGGAATTGAAGGAGACGTTTGATTTATGGATTAGAATCATCAGATTAGAATCATTTTTTATTTATGTGTATTTTTTATGAGAAAAAATACTATAATAAATTATAAACTATAATTTAAATCGGGATACGAATCTCCCAACTAAATAACCTCGAAGAGATTGCGACGATTGAGGTCAATGGTACTGAGAGGAAAGGAATAATTAAAATGGCAATCTTGTAAATACATTATAGAAAGATGTCTTATTGTTGGAATATTGTTTTGTAAAAATAGAAAAACGCGTGTCAATAGAAGATATCGGCAGGCTGAGCCAGCAATATTTGTATTTAGCATAGCCCATTCTCTTTAATTTGTTCACTTCTTGATCTATGCGTTGATTGATTACTTTTTTAGAGAAAGAGAAAAATAAGTTAAGATTTGAGATGAATTAAAATTAATAGTTCATTCTCTTTAATTTGTTCACTTCTTGATCTATGCGTTGATTGATTACTTTTCTAGAGAAAGAGAAAAATAAGTTAAGATTTGAGATGAATTAAAATTAATAGTTCAATAATTTATATAAATTAATAAATAAGTTAAATTATTATTTTCGTTCATAACTTGTCTGGTTATAAACTATAACTTGATAAATTTGTCTATAACTTATCTGGTTATAAATAATAACTTGATAAGTTATGACCTATTAATTTTTATAACTAAAAATTGACCTATATAATTTTTTAAACTTTTCATATTACCATATTTTTTACTATTTCTCTTACTTTTTTTATTCTTTTTCAACTTTTTTTATTTTACCAATTTTAATTTTAATTTTAAGTATTATTATTGTAAAAAAAAATTAAAAAGAATTATATTTAATTTTTTTTATTATAATAAAATTTATTTACATAAAATTATATTTTAATTTAAATTAAAATTTTAAATTAACGAACTAAACATATTCTTAATTAATATGATGCCTTCAAATGATGAGGAAAAAATTGGGGTCCCCCACGTTGAATGGAAACTAGAAAAAGCATTACCAATATGATAGTCGGTCAACTAAAGAACATTCATAATCAATGGGATTTTGAAGCTGTTTTCCGAATAGTTATAGCTTTTTTTGTTCCAATATTATATATTGGGGTCCCCCACGTTGAATAGAAGCTAGAAAAAGCATTACTAATATGATAGTCGGTCAACTAAAGTAAAAAAGGATTTGCACGGTGGAAATTTTAAAGAACATTCATAATTAATGAAATTTTGAAGCTTTTTTCCGAATAGTTATAGCTTTTTTTGTTCCAATATTATATATATTCTGATTGCTTTTCTTTTTCTTCGATTTGGAGCCTTCTTTGCATTATTTTTGCTTTCTCTTCTTTGTTAAATCTGATTTTATGTGTCTGATATTTTAGATGATGTTGGAACACTATTTGAAGCACAGTTTAATTAATTAATATTTGGGTTAATTACGTTCCTTTACTCGAGCAAAATAAAGTACAAACAGTAAAAAAACACACAATATGATATCACAATTCAGTATTGTAATCAATGAGAAAATCTTAGAATTTAATCAAGTAAATTTATTTATTTAAGTTAAGAACTTTTTTCAATAACTTACTCTCATATTTTGTGACTGAAAGATTTATGAAATTAATATAAGTATTCTTAAATTCTGTAG